ACTCAAAAGACAAAACCAGAAAGTGCTATTAACAAGAGGTAATCAGGAGTTCTCACAATTTCTCTCAGGATCCCTCGCGCTTCCTCTTCCTGTAAACGGCCTTGAGGTGACCTGGTTCATTACTCTCTTGACCCAGAAAACCCCACAAAATCATGTAAATCAAGAGGTTCCTCTTTGTGTTCACTTTAAGAACACACATGAAACTGCCCAGGCCATCAAGGCTGTGCATATCCGAAAAGCCACCAAGTATCTGAAAGAAGTCACTTTAAATAAGCAGTGTGTGCCATTCCGGCATTACAATGGTGGAGCTGGTAGGTGTGGCCAGGCCAAACAGTGGGGCTGGACACAAGGTCGGTGGCCCAAAAAGAGTGCTGAATTTTTGCTGCACATGCTTAAAAATGCAGAGAGTAATGCTGAACTTAAGGGTTTAGATGTAGACGCTATGGTCATTGAGCATATCCAGGTGAACAAATCACCCAAGATGTGCTGCAGAACTTACAGAGCTCATGGTCACATTAACCCATTCATGAGCTCCCCCTGCCATATCGAAACAATATCCCAGAATAAAACTTAAAAAAAAAGCACCAACACTCAAGAACTTGTGAAATTTGCAGTGTTTCAGATTTAATCTGGAGTATCTTATAATTAGGTATTTAGTATTTTAATCAACATAGTGAAATATTCTTTCTGGATTTGTATGAAAATGAAACTACTACTGAGTTTTAAGTCTGTACCTTTCAGAGGCACATAATGAACTAAGTGCACTGAATTTCACCCTCAGCCCTGTTTGAAATGCCCATATGTTCACATAAGAACACACAAATGCACACACACAAGCATTTGCTTTAAATTACAAACAGAGTGGTCAGAGGGACTCTATTCCAAAGCATTTTATTGCTCTTTAAAAGAGAACTGTACAAGGCTGACAGTCACAATCTGATGCTCGGACATGGTCACAGCAGCCCCGGGTGGACTGGGCCAGAGATCCAGGAACCAGTGTCTTCACCCTTGGCTTCTAAGTCCTCAACCTGACCAGAACCAAAGCCTAGCTGGAGCTTCTGGCAAAGTCCAAACAACACTCAAAGCAGCTGCGACTGTATCTGTATCCACCACAAGCAATCTAAGCCCAAAATGTTTCAAAGGTTGAATAATTAATTATGCACATTTAAAATACATAGAAAAATAAAAATTAGAATTTATACAAATTAGATTTTTACAAAACAACTACACTACAAGAAATACATCTTAATCCAAGCACAAAAACGTGGACATGTGCATGTGGAAGTAAAGACATTTATTTCAAATACTGAGTGGAACAGTATGGACTACGTACACTCTGGTTAACTGATCAGATGGTGAATAAATGTCAGTTTCCAGCAGAGGTTTTTGCCCCATTCTCCAGATTCTAAGCACATTCCTCAGACAGCTGTTCCTCTCTCCAGGTTCTGCTTGATCTCGGCCGTGTACTTCCCGTAGAACCTCTCTGCTTTCTTGTTGAACTTGGCATTCCTCTCATTGATATAGTCGATGTCAGCATCGTCATTGTAAGGCCGTCTCCGGCTGTATTTGTCCCTCTTCTCAATCCTGGGGGAAGAAGTTAAGAGTTCAGAACTGCCTTCTTTTTTGATCTTACTAAAACATGGCTAAAAAGTTCCAAGAGAATCAGCACATTCAGAATAAAACACCTTAGGGGAGAAAATCATAAGCTCAGTTTCATCAACTTCAGGTGGAAACTAATTTGTACCAAAACTCCAGTTAAGTAACGAAATTCAGTAAGATAAACTCCTATTCAGCGTGCTTCCAAACTGCTGCAATGTGGCACACCTGTAATCCAAGCACTGGGAGGCTGAAGCTGAATGATAGCCAGCTGCTGAAGGTTAGCCTAGGCCAGCTCAAGACCAGCCTGGGCTACATAGTGGGAGCCTGTCTCAAAAAACTGAAACAAGGAAAAAGAATGCTTCTAAAGAGCAATGGTACACTGTGCATACCACACACGTGGCATACACCACTCTTCACACAATTTACATTAACTCCGGAAATATAAATGCATTCTTTCAGTGTTAAGAAACATATATGGCCAGGTAGTCATACACACCTAACATCTCAGCACTAGAGAGACTAGAAAAGGATCACCTTGGGTTCCAGGGCAGCCTGGGCTACAATATGTGCCCATCTCAAACAAACAAACATAAATGCTAACCCCTATAGTTTGGACCGGAAACATCCCCCAGGTCTGTGCTTTGAAGGCCTGGTCCCCAGATAAAAGGGACTATTGGAAGGTAGTGGAAACTTGAAGAAGTTGGATCTAGTCAGGCCTCGTGGTGCAGACCTTTAGTTCCAGTACTCAGGAGGCAGAGGCAGGTAGAGCTCTGTGAGATTATGGCCAGCCTGGTCTACATAGAGAATTCCAGACCAGCTGGTGGTACAGGGAGACCCTGTCTCAAAAAAACAAAAACAGAAAAAAGAAGTTGGGCCTAGTTAGTCCTTGGGGTGTGCCCTTGAAAGGAATCCTGGGACTCCTGCCTCCCCCACCCCTCCCACCTCTCTCTGCTTCTCAGCACTCATGAGGTGACCAGGCCATCTAGCATGCCCATCCATTATGATCCACTGCACTGTCACAGGCCCAAAGCCAAAGCTCAAGTGACCATGGAGATCTGAAACCATGAGCCAAAACAGTTACTTATCTCAGTCCTTTTGTTACAGTGACAGACAGTTGATCTCCATTCCAAATCCTATGGGCTCAACCAGTACTTGCTGCCCAGCACCAAAACCATCAGAGATTAGGTTAAAAAATAAGGTGGTTATCAATGCCGCCTCTTCAAGTCCTCTGAAGCACTTTAGCCTACATCCCCATCCTCAACCATTCTTATTAACTACAGAACATTCCAGCTGCTCTGCTGAGTACTTACTGCTTTTCCAGATCTATAACCATTCTGTCAATTTCTTCTGAGGAAGGCACGTGTGTACCATGAAGAAGACTGTTGGAGGTTGGGAAAAACTCTTCTCCACTGAAAAGACAGCAAAAAGGACTTCCAGTAACACTTCAGTGCTCCATTCACTAAGTTCCAGCTCCACTAACCCTTGGTGAGGAGAGACTGCATGTAAATACACTTATTTACAGAGTAAGAGGCAAGGACAGAAAGAAAACACAGAATTAGAAAGGGATAGGCAAGCTCAGTGGGGCAGCCTGTGGTGGGACTCTGGTCCTGCCAGCCTGGGAGACACAGCAACACCTTCATTCTTCAGATGTCAGTAGCCAGAGTTTAAAGAACTTACAATCACTAGGAGATGGAGTTAGAGCATCTAAGGTTATATCCCTTTGCATCAAAGCAAGGACCTGCTCATTTGTGCAACCTCTCTGACAGAACATTTGGCCACTCAAGTCCAAAATATTTAGCATGTGGTACCTTACAAAGCTCACAGCCCTAGCACTAAAGCACTCTGCTCTTAAAATAGCACCAAGGTCTGATAACCTGAGAGTTAATCACTTGACACTCAGGCTCTGACAGAAGGCCCAGCTCCCAAGAAAGCCAGGGCTTAACTACTACCAGGAGAATAATAGTGATGTCAAAACAGAAACCCTTGGAGGCAGAGGTAGATGGATCTCTGTGAAATCAAGGCCAGCCTGGTCTACACAACAAGTTCCAGGTCAGCTGGGGCTACGAGAGAGAGAGAGAGAGAGAGAGAGAGAGAGAGAGAGAGAGAGAGTATGAATCACAGATGACAAGCCAACAACAAAACCAGAGACTTTAATAGGATTTAAAAAGTAATCATCTATCTTACCCAGCTGTGAACCCTGTAATGGACCTAGGAAGACAGGCCTACTAGGGTAGTAGTGACATGATTGTCATGTGTGTAACCTACCACTTTCTGCTTAGATTTAGGGCCAGATCCACAAGACGAAATCCATACTTGGCTCTATTATTGAGGTCAAGAAAGAGACTATTCGTAAGACAGCTGTTGATAATCCACACTTCACCATTAAATTGAGTTTGGTAATGCACAGTGGCAGACACCTGTAATCCCAGCACTCCAGAGACTGAGGCAAGAGGATTGCTCTCAGTTCAAAAAGAGCCTCAGCTACATAGAAGTACCAGAACAGCCCAGGCTACATAGTCAAAACAAAAACAAAAATAAGTTAGTAACTCTTTTGTGTTTATGTATGTGTCTACCTCCCCCAGGTTGGCCCTGCATTACACTGAAAGACTTACTGCTTCTCTCTCAGTCGCTCATAGGTTTCCATGTCAGGTTTGATCTGCTTGGTCAGCCGGTGATATTGGCGTAACTGGGCAGCAGCATAATCTAAACAAAAATGAGAACCAGAGATGATTTATGTCCTTATTTTGGCAATACTTATCAAAGAAAAGCTTATTAAGTTAATACCTAGGCATGGCCTCTACCCTGAGTGTGCTAAGATGACTGGTTAATTCTTTCTGGTATGGCAGTACATTGTGGACATGTACTCAGGGGACTGAGGCAGGAGGACTGAGTTTGTAGACAGCCTAGGCTACATAGCCAGACCCTGTCTGAAAAGAACAAAAGCCACAAACAACAGCAAAGATTAACTTCACACTAATGATGTAAGCAGCCGGCAGATGCCCTGAGACATCTGCACTCTCCTTGGGCTCCTAGAGAACTTTCCATGAAGGAAACAGGGGCAGAAGTCCTGCAGGCGAAGCTGTCTAATAGACCTGTCTCCTATTTACTGTTTAGTAAACAGGCCGACTGTACCTGAGAACCCCAGGTCTGGGTTTTTCCTCTTTTTCCTCCTCTCCCATCTCTCGGCATCTTCAGCGCTGATCTCCAGCAGCTTCACTTTCTCATAGTCTTCCCCTCTCGCTGCACATTCCTGCAAAAACAGAAGCACTTGCTCTTTTGTTTCGTTTTTTGAGACAGGATCTTACTCTGTAGGCCAGGCTGGCCTTCACTCAAAACAATCCTCCTGCCTCCAACTCCTGATTCCTGTGATAACAGATACTGAGCACCATGCCCCACACAAGCAATCATCTGATCTATTTTACTTTTTAGTTTTTGTTGTGTTATAGTTGTTTTATTAGTTTTGGGTTTTTGTTTTTGAGAGAGGGTCTCAAGTAGACAGACTGGCCTTGGTATCTTGATCCTCCTAACTCCACTACTCAAGTACTAGATTACCAGCATGTGCCACCATGCAGCCTTTTCATTTCAAGACAAGGTCTCAGTATATAGCCCTGACTGGTCTCAAATATTCAGCAATCCTCCTGCCTGAATTTTCCAAGTGCTAGGACTAGAGGCATGACCCACCATGCTTGGCTATTTTACATCAAGAAAGATCTAATAAAGATACCAAGTAACAGGCTAGCAGTATGTGCTTGCTGCCAAATACGATGACCTGAGTTCAATTCCTGAAACCCAGAATGGAAGGAGAGAACCGCACACCCACCATGGCACGCACAGACGCATATATACGCACATTTTTTTTGTTGTTGTTTTTTTGAGACAGAGGCTCCCTGTAGCCACAGCCAGCCTGGAACTCGATATATAGACCAGGCTGGCTATGATCTCACAGAGATTTGCCTGCCTCTGCCTCCTCAGTGCTGGAACTAAAGGTGTGCATTAAACACATCCTGTAATAAAACACTTTTTTTTTGGTATTTTTGAGACAGGGTATCCCTGTAGCACCAACTGGCCTGGAACACTCTATGTAGAACAGGCTGGTGTTGAACTCACAGCGCTCCACCTGCCTCTGCCTCCCAAGTGCGGGGATTAAAGGCATGCACCACCATGTCTGGCAATAAAATACACATTTAAAAATAGTATTTACTAACTCTTTTTTAAAAAATTATTAATATATGGAGGCTAGGCGATGGTTAAAGGTTTCCTGTGCAAATGTGAGACCAGAATTTGGATCTCCGCACAGTAAGCCAGTTAGGAAAACAGGCTATATCAGTGAGTTCTGGGTTTGACTGAGACCCTGCCTCATTCAAGAAGGTGGAAAAGTGATCAAGGATGATTCCCAACATCAACCCAGGGCCTCCACATGTACACATACCCCACACATGTGCCCCTACACATGCAAATGAAAACATGCACTCGGGAACACCATACATGAAAATGGAAAAAAAAATATGAAAGTCTGAAATTTGAGAATCTGCTATGGTACATAACAGAGCATGATGAGCAGGTGAAATGGCTTAGCATGGAGAGCCACCTGCCACCAAGCCTGAGCACCAGAGTTCCACCACCAGGACCCACATGGTTGAAGGAGAAAAATGACTCCTCCTACATGTTGTCCTCTGACTTCCGAGTCTCATGCTGTGGTCTGTATTCATATGCACCCCCACAACTGCGCGCGCGCGCGCGCACACACACACACAAAATAAAAACATCCCCTTTAAATCCAGTGCTCAGAAGGCAGAGGCAGAAGGATCACTGAGCTCTAGGTCTGCCTGGTCTACACAGCCAGTTCCCAGCCAGACAGTGAGGCCCTGTCTCAGAAAGAAAATTAGATAGATAGATAGATAGAAGTGATACCATATGCTTTAACAGATTTCAGAATGCGTTCTAAATGTTTTGGCAAGATAACTCAATGAACTCATAATTCATTCAAATAAAGATTATCATAGTCTTTGTCCTACAGACGAAAAGTGAGGTTTCCCCAGATGAATGATTCACCCACACAAGGAAGAGTACAGCCAGGATTTCAAGCCCACAGTTTGGCTCTGACACCTACTCAGCTGCAGTGCTTTCCTGTCTCAAAGAGAACAGAGGCAGTCCGAGGTCCTGCCTCTGCTCAGGGATGGAGCACTTCTAACCTTTTTCTTTTCTTCTTCCTGCAGCTCCCACTCCAAACGAGCTTTTTTGGCTTCCCAGTTTGCAGGCAACTTAAGTCTTTTGTCTTCTTCCACAACTTCCTGGTGATTTAACTTACGCGCTTCATTCTAAAACCATAAAACAAAGGCTGCCAGAGAAAACAAAGAAATCCAAACAGACCCTGACTTTTCTGACCAAAGCCAGGTGGGCACAGGGACACCTCATTTAATGCGACCAGCAGTAAAAAGCCATGGAATGATTTTAAGCCCAGGAACAGATTCCTAAGGTACATAACCATGAACAATGTCATTGCTGGGCTGCAGAGGTTTGCCATTCCAGAGCCTGCTTGGTTGGCTGGTCCCTTGGATTGGATCAGAATAAAGTGCCTACGGGCCCTCTCCGTACATACAGACAATATGCTCATACAAATAAAATGAAAACAAATATTTTTTAAAAAAGAAAATAGGATCACAGAGTAGGTTGATGCCCTACCCGACCACAAAAATACTAAACCATGTGAGTGGACAGGGATGAAAGCAGCAGGTGTGGCTTTTGACAATTCTCAAAGTGACCTCTACGGGCTGCCGGGGTCCAGAACCACCCACAGAGACCCTCCCCTCCAAACTCCGACACTCTCTATGTGTAGGAAACTTATAGAAACGCACCCGGCCTGGCCGGACCCCGCGTCCCCGCGACTCACCCGCTTCAGATGCAGCTCGCGGAACTTGCGCAGTCTCTGCTCACGCTTCTGCGCCGCCAGCTCCTCCGCCGCCAAGCCGGGCCCTTCCGCGCTGTCCTCCGCCGCGACCGCCGGCACCTGCGGCAACACCCGGCTTCAGGCTCGGCGTCACCCCGCGGCTGCCGCGGCCTCCCCCGGCGCATCCACACCGGTCTCCACACCCCGCACCCCGGCCTCCCAGGCTCCGGGTTTCGCTTCTGCGTCTCGCCTCCGGCGTCTCCACCCGCCCCTCCCCGACAAAACACCTGCGCACAGCGGATGGCACTCACCTCAATTTCAGTCGCAGCCGCCATTACAGCCTCCTTCCTACTTCCGGCAACAACATGCGGGCACTTCCGTCGGCCTTTGGCCCGCCCTCTCTACGGACAAGCAGCTAGAAGCCACGCCCCTTCCGGACGGCTCAGGCTCCCGGGACCAATTTCTGTCCTTTTCGCCGGAGCCCCGGAGCAAGGCCATGCGCAGGCGCAGAAGGCAGTGGAGGCCAAGACCGGGTTTGGCGGCGGGGGAGGGTGAGGAATAGGGCCTGTAGGACGGGGTGACCAAAGGCGGTGGTTCTAGCCTGTTACCCACTGGGACAGGTCTTCCGGAAGAGCCTAGGATCACGTAGTCCTGGAGTCTACAAGAGTAGCGAGAGTTTCCTGGTCTGCACCGGAGCAGGACCCACCCAATCTTGTTCTCAGGGGCCCAGAGGGAAGCAAGAGTCACAACAGTATCGAGGTTACCAGGACAACACAAGACCCTGCCGAACACAACAGGAACGTGTGAAAATTGTTTCTTTCTGAGCTGATAACTGCTAATTGATGTGAAGACGAAAAAGTAATCTCCCTTGGAGCTGGAGAGATGGCTCAGAAGTTAAAACACTGGTTGTTCTTGCAGAAGACCTGGGTTCGAATCCCAGCACCCACATGGCAGCTAACGCCTTTAATCCCAGCACTCGGGAGGCAGAGGCAGGCAGATCTCTGTGAGTTCAAGGCCAGCCTGGTCTACATAGTGAGACCAAAAAAAAAGTACTCTTCCCCCAGTATAAGGGTTTACATAGGCGCGGTGGCAAGCAGGAGTGTGGAAACAAAAGTCAAGATGTTCAAGGTTATCCTCTGCTACATAGCAAGTTGGGCTAGCTGAAGTTACTCAATGCACTCATTTTTTTCTCTTTTTTGGTCTTTTTGAGACAGGGTCTCCCGATGGTCCCAGCTGGCCTGGAACTATGTAGTCCAGGCTGGCCTTACTCGGAGATCTACCCGCCTCTGCCTCCCGAGTGCTAGGATTAAAAGGGCTTGCACCACCATGCCCAGCTTCAATGAATTTTTTTAGAATGCTTTTCCAAAGACACTTTCACTTCTAAGACCAAAACAGAAGCCAAGTATAGTGGCTCATGCCTGTAACCCCAGCACTAAGCTGAAGGCCACATAGTAAGTTCCAGGCCAGCCAGGGCTACAAAGTGAAACCCTATCTTATGATTCAGTGAATGTAGGTGATAGGCTGGTCACTAAACATGGTAATATGTCAACAATGGCATATTCAATATAGTCTAAATATATTTTAACATTATGCCCAGCTACAGAATGAGGCAGTTCTATACTGGCATGAAGGAAGGTTTGTGGGTTAGCTAGAGATGGCTTGGCAGTTAAGAGCCCTTGCAGCTTTTCAAACCCCAGGTCCAGGGAATCCAATCCTCTTCTGGCCTCTACATTCACATGCACATTCCCACACATACACATAATTAAAAACAATTTTACAAGTCTTTTGTTTGCATGGATAAGTGTACTGAGTGTGTGCAGAGCCCCTGGAGGTCAGAAAAGGGCATGGAATTCCCTAGAACTGGACTTTGGGGTGGTTGTTAGCAGCCTTGTGGGTGCTGGACACTGAACCTGGATCCTCCTCTGCAAGAGCAGCTAGTGTTCTTAACCTCTGAGGCATCTCTCCGGCTCCTAAAAAATAAATCTTTACAAAAGAGCAGGCTTTGCATCCCTAACTCCAGTTCCTGGGGATCTAACGCTCTCTTCCTATAGACACTGCAAGACACCCTCTCTTCCCTTAGATCTGGTGCACTTACACGCATGCAGACAACACTCACACATAAAAAAATTAAGGCAGAGGCAGGCAGATCTTTGAGATTGAAGCCAGCCTGGTCTACCTGAATTCCAGGACAGCCAGAGCTACACAGACAGACTCATAATAATAAAGCTGGGCATGCTGGCCCACGTCTTTAATCCAAGGTTAGCTTGGTCTACATAGTGAGGTCCAGGCCAGCAGGACCTAGAGAAACCCTGTCTCAAAAAGACGAAAGAATTTTAAGGCCGGGGGGGGGGGGGGGGGGGGGGCTCACAATCCTCAGATTTCTCGTCACACAGCGCGACCTGGAGGCCAAGTAGAAATCTGGTTGCGGAAGTCAAAATGCTGCACTGTAGACTGTTGAGAGCTTAAAGTGCTTTGGGGGAAAGGTCGCTCATCTTTCTGACTCTCGGGGCTGTGAAAGCCAGGGAGGATTAAGGCATGAACTCTGTGCCTAGAAAGGCGCTCGCTATAGAAATTCTTGCCCAAAGCTGTGAGATTCTGGTCACAGGTTCAGGTCACAAGGCCTTTCCCAAAAATTCAGTTTTGAACACAGCAGCTACAAACCATCCTTAACTCCAGTTCCAGGGGAATCTAAAGCCCTGCATTGCACCCATACATGCAGGCAGTACACTCATACACACAAAATTTAAAAAAAAATAATAATAATTTGCTCGTTCAGCAGTGCACAAGATCCAGGACCCTTTTGGCCTCGGTGAGCACCTACATGCACTGTATATGCTGACAAAACGTTTTAATACTGTTTCATCAAAGGGAACAAGAGATGGCTAAAATGACAGCTCCGTTCCAGTAGGCTCAGGTGGCCAACAGAGGCTGCCACAGGACAGATGAATTCATGACCAGCCTAGACCCTTAGAACTAGCAGCTAGGAAAATGCTTGTTTTTAGTTCTGAAGGCTTAACTAAAAATTAACCCTTGCAGAGCATTTCCCTCAATGCTACTGCCCCTTCTGAGACCTTTCACACTTAACCTAGGCTTGTGATTAGGGTAGACCAACCCCCATGCATCAGCCTGTCTCCACGCCTCACCCACCTCAAGCTTCGGACTTAGGTACCCCACACTTGTACTCCTACCAACTAAACCAGCTCCCTAGCCCCATATTTTCCTCAGATGTTTAACAGACAAAACCAGGTGATTATCAGGCGATTTAGACCAGCTACCCAATTCTAGCATGCTGGGGTTTCGTGCTGGAGACAGTGTCTTCCTATAGCACCCACTGGTCCAGCTGTTTGATAGGTTCTCAGTGTACCCCAGGCCAGCTTCCCAAATGCTAGATTAGGCACAATGTATGATCAATCTCAATACTGCATTAGGCATGCTTGGTGAAGTCCTTCAGAGCTAAGAGCAGCCCCAGATACCTTTAATCCCAGCACTCTGGAGGCAGAGGCAGATGGATCCGAGTTCAAGGCCAGCCTGGTCTACATAGTGACCAGCTGGGCCTACAGGGAGACCCTCTCTCAAGACCAAAAAAAAATTATAGCCAGTGCTGCATGCTTGTCATCTCAGGCAGATGCAGGTGGACTTCTGTGAATTAGAAGCCAGCCTGGTCTACTTAGCCAAGAGGTACAGGGGGACCCTGTCTCAAAACAAAGTATACATTACCCTCAAGTACCCACAAGTAGGCCCTATGGAACAGTCTTATAATCCCATTTTAGGCCAGGATCACTGGGGACAAACCTGAGCAACATAAGCACACACTGAGAAATTAAGTCTGTGGTACTGGAAATAGCACTTTGCTGCCTTTCTAGAGGACCAGAGTTTGTTTCCCAAGATCCACATGGGGCAGCTCACTGGAACCTACTTCAGCTCAAAGAATTCAATGCCTTCTGGCCTTGGGCACCCATACACACACAAATATTAAACTTATTTGGGGGGGGGGAGGGGTCTTTTTGATACAGGGTCTCCCTGTAGCCCCAGCTGACCTTCAAAGATCTGTTTGCCTCTCCCTCCAGAGTGCTGGGATTAAAGGTCCGCACCACCACACCCAGCCTTACAAATATTAAATAGTCCAAGGACTTGGATTTGGGCTTCGAAAAACTTTTCCATCAAGTGTAGATCCATGAGATAAAAGTATATAAAGACACAAGACAAAAAGACATAAAAATTTTATTAACAAATACAAAACACAGTACAAATGTGTTTTACACAATTCACTTTTGTATTTAATTGATATACAATACTTACAAGTATATACAAGACTCCCACCTGTATGCAATTCTCTGGTCCATCTGTACTCACATCTTCAAGAGAAAATTACCATTAGCAGTAATTCCTGCTGCCTTTGCTCGAGCAGGTGACATAATGCTAGACATAACTTGCAGTAAAGTGCAATTTTTTAGGTGACCTCAGCCATCAATTTTCTTCTTTTAGACAGGTATCCACAGCCCATATGGACTTTTTTTCTTATCTATTTTTGGTGGTCCTGAAGATGTCTCGGCAGCAACTTTAGCTGTCTTCTGTACGGGTTTTGCAACAGAATTCTGTAAGACAATAAATGAAGTCAGCTTCACACATACTAGATACCTCTCTGGAACCTGATTCAACTAAATCCAAGTAACCTTTGGGGTGGTTGAGGAACAGTCATCCAGAACATCCTAGTTGAAGTTTTGCTTTTTTAAAGTCTTTTTGACACAGGGTCTCCCTATAGGCCCAGCTGGCCTGGAACTCACTATGTAGCCCAAAGTGTTGAGATTAAGAGCATGTGCTACCAGCCCAAGATTTTGCTTTTTTAACAACAAAATTAGCAGCCTAGGCATGTGTAAATTCCAGTTCTCTGGAGTTCCAGGCCAGTCCTGACTACACAGTGAGACCCTGCCACAAAACAACAACAACAAAAAAAAAAAACCTAAATATGCAAAATACAGCAGTCTACTATTAAGGGACAGCTTGTAAAAGTGCCATGAGGACAGCCCCCCAAGCACAAGATACAAAAACCTACACAATGAAAACATCCTAGATCCAATTTGAGTTTACTTACATTAGCGCTAAAGGCTATGCTTTGTGAAGATGACTTTTCACTGGGACTTTTAGTTCCATCTTCTGTTTGCTTTTCTGATAGCTAGACGGGTTAAGAGAATTTGGGCACAAAGTTAAAACACTAACACAAACTTGTTTCCACTTAGCAAGACTGACTATTAATAGAAGACATAGTTCCCCTTTGATTCCTGTGCTGTACATTCATTTTTTTTAACTTTTACTTTTTTGAAAACTTTGTGTTTAAGTATATTGCCTGTATGTAAGTGCACCCATATCATGCAATGTCCACAGGTGTCAGAAGAGGGCATAGGATCCCCTGGAAATGTAGTTAGATGGTTGTTAACTGCCATGTGGGTGTAAGAGCAGCCAGTGCTCTAACCACTGAGGCCATCTCTATCCCTCAAATAATTTTTCAAAGCAATCACACTTGAAAATGCTTTTGTCTGAAAGAACTAAGACGTTTGCCAGTGGGTACCTGAATTACTCAAGTACCTCAGTTAAGTACTTATCTATTTAATACTAACTATGCAAACCCCTGTGAGCTTATTTAGGCTTATTTTGGACAGGCCATCTTCATTATATCAATTTTTACTTTAATTCTCTATAAAGCAATTGAGACAAGGACTCTTGACTCCGGTATCCCAGGGCTGGCCTCTAACTCACTATGCAGCTGAAGATGATTTTGAACTTGAGCCTCCTACCTTCACACCTAAGTGGTGGGATCAGTCTATGTAGTGCAGAGCCCTAAACCCAGGTGTTATATATGCTAGGCAGGTACTCTACCAAATGAGCTACATCCCCAACCCAAAACTTTTTAAGCTTCAGATTTTACATAACTTAGAAGTACAGTGCAGTTCCTCAATGCACATCCTGTATATTCTGAAGAATTGTAACAAACTTATCTGCAAGTGAAGCAGGCCTCTTCTTCTGTAATCTCTCAAAACATCTGGAATATATTGCATATATTATGAAAGGGACATCTATATCACAGATGCCCCACCATTACAAAGTGTATCTAAGCTAAATTTAAAATGTATCTAATATACACAAATAGTCCCTAACCAAAAATTCTAGCATGCACGTGGAACTTCCAACAAATAAAACTAAGTTTTAGTCTGTAAATTTTATAAACTGATGCTTTAACCCATGTTTCAATTACCAACAGATTTTCTTCATTGTCTGGAGACCACATTCATGATTTCTATAAGACAGAAATAAAGCAGATAAACTATACTGTATGCCGAGTACAAACTCGTGGGAACACAATGAGGCAAATGAAAGCTAGAGATACAATACTCCGTGTCTTTAATGTCTAGACAGAGTAAGAAAAGCTTAGACATCGCCATAATGGAAACAGTATATTCATAGTATTTTTATTAGTCATGGAAACTACTTAGGCAACGTGCCAAATGAACATAAAGTTCATTAGCTCCCAGTTTCATGTGTGTGGCTGTCTAGTTGTCAGAGTAAAGGTTGGTTTTGGGTAAATGCTATAACCAGACTCCCCAGGAGGGGAGTCCATTTAGAGGTTCACAAACTCTGTTCATGTAACTTTCTGAAGACACTTACCTCCATCTTTACACCATTGCTTCCAACAGCTGTTCCCTGGCTGGCTTCTTTAACTACCGTTCGAAGACTAGCTGGCAAGTCAAAGTTGGTTGTTCCTAGGGTTTTTGCTGCATTGGCTTTTGCTATTTCTAGCAGCTCCATTCGATCTAAAAAGAAATACATTACGTTTCCCTAATACAGCTCAAAACCACAAATTAAACTGTTTTCACTAAAAACATTTTCTTTTTCAAAAGTGAAGCAGAACTTCAGGAAAACAAGATCTCATTTCTGTTGAAAAAAGCATTTTGGGGGGTACTTTTTGAGACAGTCTCCTTGTATCCCCAGCTGACCTTGAAAACTCACATAGAGTTCCCAAGTGCTGGGGTTAAAGGCATGCACTACCATGCCCAGATTGTAGGGGAAAAAAATTGTTTATAAAATACCTCAACAATTAGTTTTGTTCTAACATTTTTCTTTCTCTTTGACTATTTCTTAAAATTAGGGGATTTTTGCAGTCATTTTCTCCACGAAGCTAATCAAGTTAAAAACATTTCTGCTTCTTACTCACTTCTGGATAATCGAGTCACTAGCCATAGAACAAGTTGACAAAATTTGATTTTGTTAAATCAACTAAAAAAGTCCCAGTAATTAGCAACCTTAGGAGTAAACTAGTCATTAACATTTAAAAGGCCAGGCCACCATTAAGCCCAGGCACTCTGGAGGCAAAGACAGGTCAGTGTTTGAGGATCAGTGTTTGAGGCCAGCCTGGTCTACATGCAAGTTCCAGGTCATTTGGGGCTACAGGGAGGCCCTGTCTCAAAAAGACCCCCCCCCAAAAAAAAAAACCAAAACAAAAGAGCTATACTTTTTAGTCAGCACAGGAAAAAAAACTATTTTGAACCATTTTAACACCACACCACCACAGACAGATTTTTTTTGTCTCCTGGCCTGAGGGATGACCCTGAACTGATCCTGACTGCACCACCTTGATTGGGCTTTACTAGGAAGATGCCAGGATGTTGTAGTTAAGTGCTAAAGTGCCGTCTATTCCTTCACCAGCTAAAACTTTCCCACTCCCCTCCAAGAAAACGTAAGATTTCGGGCCCAGTAACAGAGTGGCTTGCCTACCATTCTGGTGCTAGAGACCCTGATCCAGAATGACCAAACCCCACTAAGTCCCAAAGTCAACTAGGACCATCTGGTCCAGGAGCAGCAGCACCCAGCTTGGGGGTGGGGGCTGGGCTGGTAGCGCTGCGGGGGTCCTGGGTTCAAGCCTCAGGCACCCAACACCTAACACTCACCTTTTTCACTCAGGCGAAAGGGGGTTCTGCTCCTGCTGCGCGACCTGGTTCTGGGCCTCTCCCTCCACCTGCCGTGCTCCTCGCGATACAGAGTGCGGCATAAGCCGTAGTGGCGGCGCTCGCGCATTAGCGCGTAGTAGGACCTACGGTAGTGCGACCTTCCGCGGGAGAGCGACCTGCTGCGGGACCGGTAGGGCGACCGGGACTGGTAGTACCTCCGCGGCCGCCCGTAACGGCTGTTCCGATACCGGCGGCTGCTCGACCGCGAGCGGCTGCGCGAGTAGGAACGCGAGTAGCGCCGGAACTTGCGCTGCTGGCGCCTCCGCGAGCGGGACCGGGACCTCTGGCTCCGCCGGGGCCGGCTATGGCTGCGGGAGGATGAGCGGCTGCGCAAGTCGGGCCGGGAGCTACGGGACGAGGAGCGGCTGCGGGAGCGCGATGACAGGCGGCTGGAGCCCGACGTGGACGGCGAATCCTTCTGCGGCGAGCCGGGCCACATGTCGTTCACGTACTGGGACATGGCGCTGCGGCTGGACTTCCTTCTCTTCAGAAAAAGCAAAGGCCGCTAGAAAGAAACAAGGGGAGGAAGCCCAGTCAAGGCCCGGAAATGGATGTGGGACGGGGCGGAGCAAGAGCGGGCAGAGTCGTCCCTAGCGCCCGAGAGGCCAAGATCCCTTAAGGCAGGCCAAGGGCGCCTTCGTCCGCCCTCGGCTACCCTCGCCAGTCCTCGGCCGCCTTCACCCACCCTCGCCAGTCCTCGGCCGCCCTCAGCCACCCTCGCCAGTCCTCGGCCTCCTTCGCCCACCCTCGACTGCCTTTGGCCTCTACCTAGCCCACGCCCGACCGCTGGCCGAACCGCCGAACTGAACTCACCACAAGCCGCAGACTCCGCACTCAGGACAAGGGAAGCTTAGGTCTGTGAAACGGAGACCGGTCCCTTCTTCACACACTAGATCGTCAACCTCTGAGGTCCTGGCGCGAACTGAGTCGGGTGAAGACGTCAGCGTAGAAAATACTAGAAGCTAGCGTGCGCAGAGCATGCGCACAGACGTTGGCGCGGTGGGCGGGCTCTCGTCTCATCCAATCGCCGTGCTGCATTCACGCTCCGTCCACTACATCTAACTGCGCCTCCAGGGTGCGCGTGCGCGAAGAGGCGCCGTGGCTCTCCCACCTCCCCCACCCTGGCTGGTTTCTCTACATCCGGGTATTTTGAGAATAGTTGTTTTTCAGAGTTTTGTCTTGGGCGGGGTTGTTTGGAGGGTTTGGGTTTTGTTTTTTGAAGCTGGAGCTAGCTGTGTAGCCCTAGACTAGCCTCGAACTCGCATCAATCCTCCTGCCTTAGCCTCTGGAGTGCCTGGGTGACAGCCTGCGCCGCAACAGCCAGCTTTGTTTTTTTGTAGTTTTTTTGCCCTGCACCACTCCACCCCGCCTTGTGGTTTTGAGAAATCTAGACTGCTTGGATTTCCAGAAACCTAATCGGCCTTCAGCTGGCTCCATCCGGAGCCAGGACTGCCTGGTCCGTAGTAGGTCTCCCCCAACCCGTTCTCGCGTGGGGCTGTGGTCCAGGCAGTGCAGGTTCTTTTCTCCTTTATGGCCTGCCATAGCGGCAGGTCCCTAGACCTGATGCTTAAAGGTAGTGATTAGGAAAAGTACTTGAGTTGAGATAGAAACTGAAAGACTGTGATAAGGTACCTTCTTGACCATAGTCAGTGTTAAGGTTCAGCTAGCCCTGCCCCCTCACCAACAGGATCCTAAGGACTTCTCATGCTCCTGAGAAGAGGGAACCTAGCTGATAAGCACCTTGGTCTTTGAAGTCAAGAGAAGCAGACTTTTCTCCACTGTTTGGCCAACACAGCAGGCTTCCCCTTTGATCTCTAAAGAGGATAGGTTTTAACAGTCCTGTTCTCCCATTCTCCCCCCAACTTAAAAAAAAATACATCTTCCCTCCTTCTGTAGGAAGCAGAAGCCTCCCTTTTAAAAGACCCCAGCTCAAGACCCTGGTAGACATTTTCCCTGCCTGGAAGGGAATCTATCCTACGTGTTCCTTTGCTAATAACCCCTATTTTGATGGAGTTTCAGCTGTGCCTGGGTGCCTTATCATCTATTCGCTCATTCATCATCAACTTTTTACCTATCAGTCAGGCCATGTTGAAGTCTACCCTCTGAAACTAAAAGGCAGTTGGCCCAGGGTTATGGGACCATGTCAGCATGTTCCAGAGCTCACCTGTTAACAGCGGAAGCCATAAGGCTTCTTTAGGTTATACTTGGCTTACTTTTGCAAAATAGTAATTGTCACCTCTAAGTTTGGGAACTTAAAACTTTTTACCCCTCGATGTGGTTTTTCTTTTTAAGAAAACTTTTTATTTATTGGGGTTTGTGTGTGTGTGTGTGGCGGGGGGGGGGGGGTGTCTTCTTGACGCCTGTAGCCCCAGCTGTCCTGGAACTCACTATATAGACCAGGCTGGCCTTGAACTCATAGAGAACCGCCTGCCTCTGCCTCCCGAGGGCTGGAATTAAAGGCGTGTGCCACCCACACTCGGCTTACTGGTTTTATTTTATGTGTGTGTATTGCCTGCGTGTAGGTAAGTGCACCCATATTGTGCAGTGCCCGTGGAGGTTAGAAGAGACTGTTGGATCCCTGGGACTGGAGTTAACAGACAGTTGTTAGCTGCCATGTGGGTGCTAGGATTCGAACCTGGGTCTTCTGCAAGAATAACCAGTGTTCTTAACTGCTGAGCCATCTCTCCAGCCCCCTCGATGTGGTTTGTCTGTATGAAAGCTTATTCTGGAGATGGCCCAGAACTGCCTTGGGACCCGACTGCCCAGTGTAGTCACACTGGCTAATAAATACTTTCCTTTTTGGCAGTTTTCTGTCTGAATGGTCTCCTCTGGTGAATCACAGCACAATAACACGACCAGTTAACCTGCTGGCAGTAAGGATAAGCCAACCCCAAGAACAGTATGTTTAGTGTAGGTGTATTCCAAATAGTGGTTGTAATAAACCATAGCCTTGGAAAGGGTAGGTAAATCAACTACACTGAATGAAATAGCTACTTCAGTGGGGAGAGCTAGTCATATGAGAGACCCCTTCAAAAGCAAGGTTTTGGTTTGGTTTTGGAGAGGTCTCATTGTATATCCCTGGCTGGCCTGGAACTCACAATGTAGAACAGGCTTGCCTCAAAATTACAGAGGTCTGCCTGCCTGTGCTGTGTCCCGGCCCACGGGAACTGTAATGGGGTACCTGGATTGGGGAGTGGGGACTTGGATGGGGCAAGAGACAAGAGACATGGAGACAGGACAGCCTTTTGATCAAGTCTTGTTTATTGTAGCACAAGCATGGGGTTAAATAGAGAATGAAAACAAAGGAGCAAAGAGTGAGCAGTCATATCAGCCAGAACACAGGGGCCCAGATGTACCCTAAGGGAGGAATCTGAAAGGAGAACAAGGCCGCAGGCCAAGGCCATGGGCCCAGGGCCATGGGCTCTGTCCTGTGCCTGTGGGAAGAGAATGGGAAAGAGTCCAAGGTCTGTCCTGTGCCTGCGGGAGGATGGTGGGCAGAATGGAAAGTCACCAACTCAGGTCTGTCAGCAGTTTTGAGAAATGGCTGAGCCTCAGGCTCCCAACAGTGCTGAAGTCTGTGCCTGTGTTGGAAAGATGTGTGTGCCACCACCCTGGGCTGACTTTTTTTGTTTTTTGTTTTTTAAGATTTCATTTTCTACCGCAGGGTGTGGTGGTGCACGCCTTCGATCCCAGCACTTGGGAGGCAGAGGCATCCAGATCCTCTGTGAATTCTAGGCCAGCCTGATCTACAGAGTGAGTTCCAGGCAGCTGGAGCTACAGGGAGACCCTGTCTCAGAGAGACCAAAAAAAGATTAATTTTCTCTGGGCTGTATATAGTGCATGCATTAATCCCAGCACGTGACAACAGAGGCAGGCAAGATCTCTGTGAGACTGAAACCAGCCTGGTCTACATAGCAAGTTCTAGGCCAGCTAGGGCTACAAGGAGACCCTGTCTCAAAAAAAAATGAAAAAAAATTATTTTTTTCCTTTTTTTGGTCTTTTTGAGACAGGGTCTCAGTGTAGCCCTAGCTGTCCTAGATTCACAATGGGGACCAGGCTGGCCTCTAGTTCACAGAGATCAGCCTACCTCTGCCTCCCTAGTGCCTCCCTAGTGCTGGGATTAAAGGTGTGCACCACCATGCCCCACCGAAAAAATCTTATGTGTATGAGTGTTGTGCCTGCATGTATGTATATGTACCACGTGTGTGCCTGGTACCTTCCGAAGGCAAAAGAGTGTGTTGGATCCCCTGGAACTGGAATCGCAGACAACGATGTGGATGCTGGAAACCAAACCTAGGTTTTCCTCAAGAGCAGCGAGTGTTCATCACTCCAGCACACAAGTGTGGTTGGGCACTTTGAAGAGAGCTGAGGGAAGATAACAGACACATCTCTTACTGTCTCATCCCACCTCCCAAGTGTACATAGAAACTGAAGAAATAGGAACCTTATTGGGGAGTGGGGGTGTGGGATGGCAAGATGGCTCAGCAGTAAAAGCAGAACTCAAGGTGGAAGGAGAGAACTGACTCCTGAAAGTTGCCTTTTGACCTCCAGGCTTGTTGGCTGGGGTGTGGGTACAGGTCTCGCTGCTGGCGGGCCTCTGGCTCTCCGCAGCTGGGAGTGCAGGTGGGCTCTGCAGGTCAGCGGGTCCACGGTGTGGCTAGTGCAGACTCTGCGCCAAGCTGCAGGGGGCTCTGCACCAAGCTGCGGGACGCTCTCACTGTGCCCGTGGGACGTTGTCCACCGTCCCACGAGCCGAGGCAGGGAGCGCAGGAACGGCGAACACAGAAGCTTCGCGAGTGAATGTTGACGGAAGGACAGCTTCTTCTGGGAAGACTGCTCACAGGCGGGTCCCAGGCGCAATAAAACACAACTCAGCTCCAGACAAATTCAGTGATACAGCTCCGCTTTATTAAGGTGAAACTAGAAGATTTATAGTGTGGAGGCAGTAGCAAAAGCCTCAGCTGATAGGTGCTCTGTAGTATGCTTCATTTACATGTGGTGGTGGGCTTCTATGCTGTCAGTGCCTGATTAAAACCTGGTAGTTTCTATGCCAGAGGTCATGTTTCCGATAAGGCATCTGTGGCCGCCACTTCAAAGTGAGCCAGGAGGAGAGCAGGAGGCGCCCTCCTGAAAAGGGGAGTCTTTCCATTAGGCGCCGAGCCGGCTCACGGCTATCCGGACATGGGGAGACTGCGACCCTAACAGCAGGGTTCCCCAACACAGGCTCATACACAAACATTCATACACAGTAATAATAATAAATCTAAAAGCATTATAGAAGCTTGGAATGTATTAATAGCTCAGTTTGTACCTATTACCTAGCATGCTTGAAACCATAGGTTCTCTGCCCAGCATCACACAAACTTGATGTGGTGGTGCATAACTCATCCCTGCACTTTAGCTCTAAGTAAAGTTTTGGGTACCCACCCCCAATCTTGGCACACACTGGTAACTACAGCTCTCTGAGGCAGAGGCAGGAGGCTCATCTAAATGATTCTAAGTGCCACCCCAGGTAAGGTAAGGTACAGTGTCCATGTGGGTGCTGGGAATCAAACCCAGGTCCTCTGCAAGACCAGCCAGTGCTCTTAACTGCTGACCTGTCTCTCCAGCCCCCTTTTTTTTTTTTAGACAGGGTCTCACTTTGTTGCCCTGGGTGGCCTAGAACTCATAGAGATCACCCCTTCAAGTGCCAGAATTAAAGGCATGTGTATCACACCTTGCTGGTGGTGGTTGCTGTTGTTTTGGGTTGGTTTTTTTTTTAATATTTTATTATTTTTATTTTATGTGTATGAGTGTGTTGCCTCCATGTATGTAAGTGTACCTGTGTCATGCAGTACCCACAGAGACCAGAAGAGGGCGTCAGATCCCACGGAACTGGAGTTAAGGACTGGTGCTAGCCACCATGGGGTGCTGAGAATGGAACAAGGGTCCTCTGGGAGAGCAGTCAGTGGTCTTAACCACTGAGCCATATTTCCTACCCAAAATTGTTAAGCAGGTGTGGTAGCACACACCTTTAATCCCAGCACTAGGAAGGCAGAGGCAGGCGGATCTCTGTGAGTTCAAGGCCAGCCTGGTCTACATAGTGAGTTGCAGGTTTGTTTTGACATCTTTTTTTTTTTAACATTTTCATTTATTATTTTCATTTCATTTTATGTGTATGAGTGTACTGCCTGCATGTATGCTGCCGAGGACAGAAGAGAGCTTCGGATTCCCCTGGAACTGGAGTTCATAGCCACCATGTGGATGCTGGGAATTGAACTGGGGTCCTCTGTAAGAGCAATCAGTGTGCTTTTAACTGCTGAGCCATCTCTCCAGCCCTTGATACAGATCTTACTCTATAGCTCAGGCTGACATAGAAGTCATAATGTAAGTTTGACTGGCCTCAAACTTGCAGCAATCCTCCTGCTTTAGTCTGCTAAATACCAGCTTTATGGGTATGAACCACACACCAGGCTTCATCACACCCATTTAAACCTATTTCCCTCTTGTTAACCCCCACCTTTTTTAGACAGATTTTCATGTAGCCTTGATTGCTTTCAAACTTTGTAGGAATGATTTTTACAATATGGACAGAATCTGGACTAATGACTTTTTTACTTAACCTTGTACCAAAAAGCTACTGTTTATAATGTAAAGAAGCCCACTGAGCCTTAAAGGTATATGATCTTAATCCCTCAGGGCCCAACTTGCCCCCCCCCCAAGATAGTGAATGAATGTGAGTGTGCTTGTTTAGCATATCAAAGGGCTGGTCTCACTGACCTCAGTGAGAATAATTGAGAGTGCTGCTTGATAAGGTGTGTGAGATATTTTAGGCCTAGGGACCAAAGGGCAAGATTTTCTGATAAGGGTGGATCTTCCCTTCTACTTGCCAGGTTGTTGCTGGAAAAGACTGCTTCAATAAACAAGTATGCCTAAACCTTGGCTTGAGAGCACAGTTCCCAGAGCTATCAGAAGGAACAGGTGGTTCTCAGAGTTTGGGTCCACCCTTGGCCTTAAATGCTAAGAGTCAGGATGTTTCTTTATTGGGGTATAACTGTAATGTGCCACAAAACTTCTTATGAAGTCAAGGATGACCTTGAACTCCTGATCCTCCTGCATTACCCCTCAAGTGCTAGGATTACAGACATGCACTGTACCACCATGCCCAGTTTATGCAGTGCTGGGGATAGAACTCAGGGCTTCCAGCACGGAGGAGCACTAAGCAAGTGCTCCACCAACTGAGCTGCATATACTCCCGGCCTTGTTATTCTTTAAACTTTTTTGTTTTTTAAATTTTATTTTTTTAATTTTATGTGTATGCGTGTATTACCTGCATGTAGGTAAGTGCACCTGTGTCCTGCAATGCCCTAGGAGGTCAGAAGAGGCTGTTGGATTCCCTGGGACTGGAGTTAACAGTTGTTAGTTGCCATGTGGGTGCTGGGATTTGAACCTGGGTCTTCTGCATGAACAACCAGTGTTCTTAACTGCTGAGCCATCTCTCCAGCCCCCACTTTTTTGTTTAGTTTTATTTTATGTGTATGAGTGTTTTGCCCCAATGTGTGTAAGTGTACCTGTGTCCTGAAATGCCTGAGGAGGCCAGAAGGTGTCAGATCCTTGGAAGTGGAGTTACAGATGATTGTTAGATACCATGTGGGTGCTGGGAACTGAACCTGGGCCCTCCGCAAGAGCAATCAGTGTTCTTAACCACTGAGCCATCTCTCCAGCCCCTATGATAAAACTTTTTAAGAAGAGTGGTGAGGAGATGACTCAGTGGGTAGAGCTTGCTGTACAAACTTGGGGACTTGACTTTAGATTCCAGCATCTACATAAAAGCCAGTTTGGTGGCTCCTCTGTAACCCCTGTACTGGAGTGAGTTGGAGAAAGGTCCGTGTTCATTGGCCAAGCAACCTAGCCAAAATGGTGAACTCTGGGTCAGTGAGAAACCCTGTCTCAAAAAGTAAGGTAGAAAGCTGAGACCTTTAAGCTCAGCACTTGGGAAGCAGAAACAGGCAGATCTCTGTGAAACTGAGGTCAACAAGTCTACATAGCAAGTCATCTGGGGCTAGAGGGAGACCCTGTCTCAAAAAAATAAATACATAAATAAGTAAAGTGGAGAGGGCCTGCATGATGGCTCAATGGATAAAGGTGCTTGTTGTACAAGCCTGGTGGTCTGAGTTTTATCCTTGGAACCCATGTAAAAGAGGAAGGAGAGAACCAACTCCACCAAGTTGTCCTCTGACCACATGTGTACCTGGGCACTTGTGTATACACACACACACACCATGAATTAAAAAAAAAATTTTAACTTTTTTTTTTAATGTATATGCATGTATTACCTGCATGTAGGTAAATGCACCCATGTCCTGCAATGCCTCTGGAGGTCAGAAGAGGCCGTCGGATCCCCTGGGACTGGAGTTACAGACAGTTGTTAGTTGCCATGTGGGTGCTGGGATTCAAACCCAGGTCTTCTGCAAGAATAACCAGGTTCTTAACCACTGAGCCATCTCTTCAGCCCCGTGAATTAATTTTTAAAAATTAAAATGGAAGCCAGGCATGGTGGCACACGCCTTTAATCCCAGCACTCTGGAGGGCAGATGCAGGCAGATCTCTGTGAGTTCAAGGTCAGCTTGGTTACATATGGAGTTCCAGGACAACTGGGGCTACAGGAAGACCCTGTCTCAAAAAGAACACAAAAAAATTAAGATGAAGAAGCAACTGAATAAGATGCCCAACATCAACTCAGCAGAGTGCAAAGGTGAGCACAACCACAGGCTCATGTGCACACATGCATGTACCCCCACTGTATTAGGGTTCTCCAAAGAAACAGAGCCAGTAGAATGAATATATATGTATAGAGATTTATCAGCTTAGCTCACAGGATAGAGTCCAAGTAGTCCAACAACGGCTTTACCACACTGGAGAGGCTGAGAATCCGTAGTCGCTCAGTCCACAAGGTTGGATGTCTCAGTAGTCCTAATCTGACGCTGAAGGTCTGACAAATTCCAAAAGATGAACTAGTCTTCAGTCTACAGCAGCAAGACGAACTCACCAGTGAGAGAGAAGGCAAGCAGCAAGAAGCCAGGCGTTCTCTGCCATTGGCCTTTCATACGGGCTGCCATCAGAAGGTAACACCCACATTTAGAGTGTGTCTTCCAGCTTCAGATGATCCAATCAAGAAGATCTCTTTCATTTCAGTTAATCCCAGATCCAGTCAAGTTGACACCCAGGATTAGCCATCACACCCACATACATACACACACAAGAAATAAAGGAATCTGAGAATACATACAGTAAAAGGCAATAATAGAGCCGGGCATAGTGGCGCACGCCTGTAGTCCCAGCACTCGAGAGGCAGGCGGATCTCTTTGAGTTCAAGGCCAGCCTGGTCTTCAAAGTGGGTTCCAGGACCACTGGGGCTAAAGGGAGACCCTGTTTTAAAAAAACCAAAAAAAAAAAAAAAAAAGGCAGTAATAATCTATTCTCTAGAAATACGGACTCTAACAGTCTCTGTCCTTCCACATAACTTGGGGGTAACAACTGTTAACATTTTAGTCAGTGGTCTTTCATTGTCCTTTCTCCTGGACCTTTTAAATATTTCAGCACGCAAAATTGTCTGAATATGGGACGGACACAGCTGCACACTGCCACCCTCCACAGCCTGAAGAGTTCCCCTAGACTTCTGAGAATCTCAACCAGGGCTCATGGCTTTGAGACTGAAAAGAAGTTCAGGACTAGCTTATGGAACAGTTAGTTGGGAGGCAGAGGCAGGTGGATCTTTGTGAGTTCGAGGCCAGCCTGGTCTACATAGTGAGTTCCAGGACAGCTGGGGCTACAAGGAGACCCTGTCTCAAAAAGAAAAAAAAAAAAAATCTGACAACAAATGTTGGAGAGGATGTGGTACAGAGAGAAAAGAACCCGTATTCACTGTTGGTGTATATAAGTACACCTGTGTTGAGCAAAGGCCAGAAGAGAGCGTCAGATCCCCTGGAACTGGAGTTAGCCACAATGTGAGTGCTGAAAATCAAATCCTGGTCCTCTCTAAATCTCAGTCCTCTGCAGAAGCAGCCAGTTAACCACTGAGCTGTCTCTCCAACCTGAAATGGCTTTTTTTTTTTTTTTTTTCCTGTTTTTGTTTTTATTTTTGTTTTGAGTCTCCCCAGCTGGCCTGGAGCTAGCTATATAGACCAGACTGGCCTTACTCTCACAGAGATCCTGCCTCTGCCTTTGCCTGACAAGTGCTGAGATTAAAGGTGTGCACCACACGGGGTTCTTAATAAATTCTGGAAACCAGTTTTTTGTTTGTTTTGCCACAGGCTCTATGTAGTGATATGCAACCCTGGCTAACCTGGAACTTGCTATGTAGACCAGGCTGGCCTGGAACTCACAGAGCCCCACCTGCTTCCACCTCCGGAGTGCTGGGATTGCAGATGAGGACCACCACACCTGGCAGAAACAACTTTGGACAGGGTAAAGTGGCTACTGCCAAGCCTAAAGGTCCAAATTGGATCCCTCAGACTCATATGATGGTTACAGACAACTGATTCCAGCAAGTTCTCCTCTGCCCTCTTGCCATCACCCCGCCCCTGGCTCCGCCCTCCGCTCGTCTCCGCATGCGCACTGGTGCAGGGTGGGTTGGGGGGGGCGCGAGCCGGCACATCCGGGCGTCTGGAGGCCTGTGGCTATTTTGTTTTCTTGGCCGAAGTGGAGGAAAGTGAGGCTGCCCTGCGCTGACTCCGCTCCGGCTCTGGACGTGAGTGCGGGCGGGAGGGCGGGGAGCCGGGCCGCACCGGCTCGCAACTGGCCTGTGCGAGCTGCTTCCCGGTCCCGCGCGCTGCGCTCACGGCTGCTGCCCGGCCGCTTCCTGTGCGGGGTGAGCCGGGAACCGCCGGCCTCATCCGGACCCGCTGGGCTAGTGTCTGCCTGCTGCGACCCCGCAGGGGCTCCGAACCGCGTCTGATTCCAGAACTTCAGAGCTGGACGCACCGACCCCGAGAGTGAGCCGCCGGGCCGGTCCATACCGGGGCAGAGGTGGTGGAGCTGGAACCAGATGTTCCGGGTCCGGTCCACTCTGCACATCTGAAATTCCCAGTCTCCAGGGCGGAGACCGGGTTTGAGGGTGTCAGTAATTGTGCAAAGAAAAATGGACTCGGGGTGGGGCGGTGGGGGTGAACCGAAAGTAATTACACACTGTGGGTTGCTTTTCTTCAAGAGTAGAGAAAAATGAGTTTTCAGAATCGAGCTCATCACTGAAATGTGTTAACACTGATTATAGTAATAATTTTTCTATTTAAATTTCTTAGGAGAAATTAAAATTGAAGTTGCATTTGTTAGGGTATCAAGTAGGAGTTGGGGTGTGTCTGGATTTTTAGCGAATTATGTGTAATTCAGGTTTTTCCATCATCCTCTGAAATGGAAATTGTATGGATGTGTTTCAGGCCGAATCTACACTTGTTTGAAGGAACGTTTACGTAATTTGTTAGGACAATTTAGGTTGCCTGTGGTAATTTGACAGCACATTATTTAGATTTACTATGAATTAATTTCAGTTCTGTGCCTTTTGTGGGGGAGGTTGAAAACATCTTAGAACTAGAGATTATTTTTTAATTTAATTTATTATTCGTGTGCGTGTATGTGTGTGTATATACAGGTGCATGTGTTCCACAGTGCACATGTGGAGGTCGGAGAACAATTTTATGGCATCAAGTCTCTCTTTCCACTGTGGGTTCTGGGGATCAAACTCAGATTGTCAGGCTTTCAGAGCAAGGACATTTCACACCTAGCTGGCCTGGATTTGCTATGGAGACCAGGCTGGCCTTGAGCTCACAGAGATCCCCCTGCCTCTGCCTCCCGAGTGCTGGGATTAAAGGCATGCGACACGCCTGGCTATTATTTTTATTTTATGTGTATTCATGTATTGCCTGCGTGTAGGTAAGTGCACCCGTGTTGTGCAATACCCGAAGACGTCAGAAGAGGCTATTGGATCCCCTGTGACTGGAGTTACGGATAGTTGTTAGCTGCCATGTGGGTGCTGGGATTCGAACCCAGGTCTTCTGCAAGAACAACCAGTGTTCTTAACCGCTGAGCCATCTCTCCAGCCCCAGAGCTAGAGATATTAAGATGAGTGCCTTTTACATAGAAATAACAACCGAAGGCAGGCTTGAAGAAGGAGACATAATCTGAAGGGAAATGATGTAGCTAGAAATTAAAACCCACAGTGCAGAGTTTAATTTCTATTTTTAAAAATACTTGTTATTTTTATTTTATGTGTGTAAGTATATTGCCTGAATGTATGTAACTGCACCCATGTCATGCAATGAGGGCAGAGTTCAGAAGAGGGCGTCGGATCCCCTGGAACTGGAGTTAGGACAGTTGTTAGCCACCATGTGTGTGCTGGGAATTGAACCCAGGTCCTCTGCAAGAGCAGTCAGTGCTCTTAACCACCATGCCATCTCTCCAGCCCCAAGAGTTTAATTTCTTAATCAGTGCATGAAGAAACCCACATTCCATGATAGAATGTGCAAATTCCAAAGAAAAATATTTTTCATCCAAGTCTGGGGTTTTAACTTTAAGCCAAAGTTTATTCATGGATAAAACTCTAAGAGTACCTTAGTTTGGAATTAAACTAACTTCTCCATGGATCAAACTCTAATAGTACCTTAGTTTGGAATTAAAGTCGTATAAAAGAGCTCTTGTAGACTAATCATCATTATACTCATTTTAAAGGCTCAGTCAGTTAATTTAGTAATGTACTTGGAGTAATAGACTATGATAACTTTTAGGAGAAAAGAGACCAACCAGTAAAATTTTGTCAGTGTTTGGATACTTGCCTTTGTTCACGTTATGTAAATATACTAAAACCATCCTATTTTGTTTGCTTCCTTTTGTGTGTATGTGCATGCTTTTTAAAAGTATTTTA